AAATATCAAAAAATTTGTAATTTTCAATTTTTGGTTAAAATAAATGGATTAATGCAAAAAATAATAATAATATTAGTTTAGGTCATCCATCCAAAAATTTTAGGTTTTGTATTTTAAAGCGATTGTTTTTATAATACAGTGAACGTTCTATATAAGCAACTCATTTGAACCAATTTCAATGAAAAGTTTCTTATTGGGAAAAGTTGCTTTTAGGGAAAAAAGGAGTATAAAAATGCTTGCCATTATTTCTTTTACTAATTAAACTGTGTAAAATAAATGGCTGGTTAGTAAAAGTTAGATAAAAGCAGATTAGTAAAAGTTGGCTACCATCGAATTCTTGAAAAGGTAAAAGAAATAAGACAAAAATTTACCACAGCAGTATTAAAAGGAAGTCGAAGTGGCAGTGGCAGAATTATTTGAGAGCACTTTGATTTGTTACGAGAAATATACAGTGGTTCAGCATCGATAAAATCTTTAAATTCAGGAATTGATACGACTTTAGTGAACATTAATTTATCTTCACCGAATGAAAAGTTAATAGATAATATTTCTGTGGAAAAAGAAACTGATATTGATAAAAACAATGTTGATTTTACCAGTACTTCATTATCTTGTAAAAAAAGAAAAAATGAAGCAGATTTGCCTATTTTGATTGATGAAAAAAGAAAACATATTTTAAAAAAATTAGGTGCTAATCAACGTGATGCTTTGCTATTAAAAGAAGCAAAAGAAGATATATAATTACGTAAAGAAGTTGTTAATGCCATAAAAGAATCAAACCAAACATTTTCTGATGCAATGAGAAGTATTGGTGAGTCGATGAAACTTTTAACAGAAAGCATGAAAACCTCAGTTCAGTTTTTAGGACAAGGATATAGTAGCTCACCAGCTTACTTTCATACACAAAGAGCTTACTTACCCTCATCAGAACAGTTTTTTGACCATCCTAGTACCCGATACAATACTTACTTAATTAAAAATAATCAAGAAGAACAATCTAAAAGTTTTGACAGACAATAGTGTAGTATTTGTTTAAAGTAATAAGTACTGAATAATGGAAAAAAAATTTTATCTTACTTTAAATATCTTACTTTATCTTAAAAGTTATACAAAATATTGAGTTTACCAAACTAGAAACAAAGAATATACTATATTTCAAAAAACAGTTGTGTTTTGCTTTGATATTTTATTGCAGTTATTGTATTTTTTTTTATATTGAGTTATTATTGCATCCAGAAATATACTGTGTTATTACTTCTCTTATTAATGATCCTTCATCTGTGTTGCAAGAATAAATAGAATCAACTTTGTCAGAGTTAATATTTTCTTTAATATTATTTATGAAAACCTCTTCGTCTACTGTTATACATTTTATCTTACAAAAGTTATGCAGAACAAAACAGGCATATATAACAGTGGGTATATTCTCTAGTTTGAGGTCAATTTTTTTCTTAAGTATTGCCCATCGTGCTTTAAGGCGACCAAAAGCACATTCTATTTGATTTCTTGCAGTTCTAAGCAAGGTATTGAAAACTACTTGATTTTTATTTTGGCAGTGTAAATACTCTTTTAAGCAGAAAGTTGAAAGAGGATATGCTGGATCATCTATTACATAGCATGGAACTTTGCAAAAGCCTGGCAGCAATTCTCGATAAGTTATAGGTATACTGTTCGAAATAATTTTAAAGTTAAATGTTGAATTAGAAAACACTTTAGCATCATGAAGTGATCCAGGCCATTTGCAGTCGACATCCATAAAAATGCCTTTTGAGTCACAAATTGCTTGAACAGATATAGAGTGAAATCCTTTGTAATTAAAGTAGTCTTGTGAAGATTCTAAAGGTCTTCGTATTGGAATATGAGTTCCATCAATAAAACCAAGAGCTTGAGGCATATTAAATTTTGTTTTCATTTCTAAAATTTTGTTTTCCATTTCTGTTTTGTTTTTAGGAAGAAAAAGTATTATTGGTCCAAGGTGATAAGTAATGGCCTCACAAACTTCTAATACTACTTTAGACACTGTGCATTGTTGTATACCAAACGCATTAGCAGTCATCCATAGAGACCCCGTATCTTTTAAATAATATAAACAGCATGCATTTTTTTCAATGCCAAGTGCCCTATAGTTTGGGGAATTGCTACCAGAATTGATAAAGGGTCGCAAGTAATTAGCTAGTTCCGTCACATGTTCTTTAGACATCCAAAAATTTAGTTTCCATTTATTTTCAGTAGTAACATTGTTCAACAGATTAAACCAAAAAGTTTCAGAACTCCCTGGTTTAATCCATATGCTACGGGGCATTCGCCTTGAACGTTTTTCCACAGCATTAATAATTCTTTGTAAGAAATAACTTCTTTTTCGTAAAGAAATTGTTACAAAAATGTTAAATAATTTTCTTTGTTTTATCAAATATGCAAGAGCAAGATCTATCTGCTGTAAATTAAGTGAAACAAGCATTGCATTTAAGCGATTTTTCGGCCATATTTTATTTTTACTTTCAGCGAAACAATACAGGAATTTTTTTTACATGTAATCGTTTAAATTTTTTTACAGGCGGGAAGTTTTTATCTCGGCAAAGCGGGACAAATTTCCTCATATAATCAGGCCCTAAGAATAATTTGAAAGTAACTTCAGCCGACAAAAATTTACCTAGTTCGAGTCAACAGTTGAATGATGCCAGAACCGACGAGAAGCCTCCTACGAAACGAAGAATAACGAGTTACTTTGCATCCGAAAAAAAAAGCCTTAGACGAAACACTGGCTCAAATATCAGCTTTAGATGGGCTAACATTTAATGTATTTATAACATCAAAAGATTAAGGCAATTACTGATTACCAGTGGTTTCAAAAATTTGCCCAAGTCAGCAAACTCAATTAAAAGGATAGTGGTGAGTTACAGCTTAAATATTAGACAGTTAATTTCATAAGAAATTTATCAATTTAAAGCTTTGGGAACACGATTTTCTCTGAGCTTTGATGAATGGACTTCTACAACAAATAAAAGATACATGAATATTAATGTACATATCCCAAATAAGCACTGGAATTTGGGTCTTATTCGTGTATATGGTTCAATGAATGCTGAGAAATGTATTGATGTTTTAAAAACACGTCTAAAGGAGCATGTTAATATTGATACAGACATTGTTGCTATTGTTACGGATGGTCCAAATGTAATGGTTCGTGTGGGAAAAATTATTGAGGCTGAACACCAGTTGTGTTTAGTCCATGGAATTCACCTTGCAGTTTGTGATGTTCTTTATAAAAAAGGTTCAACGCCAATGTCCGACACCGAAGCACCATTGAAGGAAACTCAAGATATTGTTGATGAAACAGATGATCACGAAGGTGAAGAAAATATTGACGAGGAAATGGGATTAGGCTTTCTTCCCCCAACAAATGATGGGATAGCAAATATGGATTTACTCACCAATGAACAAAATATCAATGAACTAGTGAAAAAAGCCCGTAAGGTAGTTGTTCTTTTTAAACGATCCCCGACAAAAAATGATGCAGTCTTGCAAAAATATGTCAAAGAAGAGAAAGACAGCGAGCTTCGCTCATTTTGGATTGCAAAACAAGATGGAACTCTCTTCTATCAATGCTAGAGCGTTTCCTTGCTTTAAAAACATGTATACAGAAAGCTTTAATTGACTTAAACCACCCAGTTTCTTTAAACGAAAGTGATTTTGTGGTTCTTTCGGAAATAATAGAAGTACTTGCACCTGTCAAATTAGCAGTAGATGCGTTATGCAGACGAGATGTTAATCTATGCACTGCAGATGCAGTACTTATATTTTTATTCCAGCAGATTGCTCAAAAACAATCTCCCTTTGCTAATAAAATGTTCCAAGCTATAAAAACAAGAATGGAAAAAAGACGATGTGAAGAAATTTCTGGTGTTTTAAAATACCTTCAAAATATGATGCTGTGAATGATGAAACAAATGTCAGCAAAATTTTTGGAGTTCCTCCTAAAACCATTATTAGGAAGCAGATAAAAAAACTTATTGAAAGACTAGCTGCTTTTACTTGTTTACTTTAATTTTTATTTTATTTCGTAATTTTGTAAATAATTTGTATTACGAACGGTATATACTTTTAATATTGAATTTAATTTTGTAATGAAAAATATATTTATATATTTATATATATATATATATATATATATATATATATATATATATATATATATATATATATATATATATATATATATATATATATATATATATATATATTATTATTATTAAAAAAAAACAAAAACAAAAAAAATACAAAAAAAAAATTTGATGTATGTGACTGGATGTATCTGCAAACATTGTATGTATGATACTTTTGGAAGTTAATCATCCTTTGACAGTGGTTTAGCATTTTTGTCGGCGAAAGCGTTAACGTAAATGCACCAACATTTGATAATTATGGCTTCTCACACAATGACACCATCATTTGGCTATCTAAATTCTTCTACACAATCTTTTGGATCTTTTGAATCTTGAAGTGGATTTGGATGTACCTAGTGCAATCATATTCTTATTATTTTCGTTTATTTATTAATTAACTAACAATTAAGATCAGTGTAACTGATAGATTTGAGTAACAAGAATCAGTGATCGAGTCAGATGCGAGACGTATTTATTTATTAAGAATACTATGATATTATTGTTTTCGCTTGAATCATCCGGTTCAGAAGAATTAGTACTTTAATTCCAGCCATAAAGACCATAACTTAAAAAAGTTAAAAACTTGTGTTTATTTATTTTTGTTTTTCCTATAATCTAAAATAAGATCAAAGTTCTTCAACAGCGGTTCTCGGTGACAAGACCTGTATGGTCTCCTTTAAGTATCCGCGTTCTTTATCTTAATTCTCTATTTTTTTGTAACGATTTTTTTGCATGTAAATTTTTCTTATTATATATTTGTAAATAATGTATTAAATATTGTAAAAAAAAAAAAAAAAAAAAAAAAAGTATATTCATATATGCAATATTAAGTTCTGTTTTTTAGCAAATAACTCACATTATATAAAATCCCGAGATACCAGGATCCCGGGATTTTATTTACTTCAATCCCGAAATCCCGGGATCGTAATTCATGCCCGGGATTGCTATCCCTATTTGTAATATACTGACAAATTCATATTTTTGAAGTAACGAAGAGATTGTGATTTCCCTCTCATCATCTAATATATGCACACCTGTTTTTGCATGACATTATTGTTACTCTTTCCTTCATTGCTTTTCTTCCAACAGTGGATTTTTCAAAAAATTTTAACATTAGTTTTGCTGGGCAAGCTTTTATAGACGAGACCAGTTTTGTCGCAATTATATATTTGTTTAGGAAAAAAGCCATTTTTAGCAATATAATTTTAAAACTAATTATGAAATGAACTAGCTAGCTCCACATTGCAAGACATACTCTCTCCACTGTGGAACTGTAAAGCTCGGTCTCGGAGACTACAAACACAAACAGACAATATCTGTAAACCGTGACATTTTTTAAATTTCGTTAACCATCCATCACTTGCAAAAAATGTTTCAGGTCCATTATTTAATTTTTTTTTACTTTGAGTGCTTTTAACTTTATCATTTTATTTGAAACTAACTTGTTTTATTGTTGCCGCTCCAAGAAACAAAAAAAACATTGTATAGTCGATTTCACAATATTTTATTGTCTTCATTTGCTTAATCTTACTCTGATTCACATGCTTTTTGGTTACATGTTTTTCTAAATTTTCTTTATTTTCTTTTACTCTACTTATAGTAAATTTAGCAACTTTATATTCGTTACAAATGTCCTTTGTTTTCTCACCATTTTGAATGTTTTTTATAATGGGTAGTTAATCTTTTAACAATATTGAACGTTTTTTTTTTCTTCTGATTCAAATTTTATGCTTAAATGTAAAGCACAAAATTATTAATTCATTTATTATTTAAAAACTTTGGCATATAAAATTCGCCGAATGGTCACACACGAGCAGTGAACGCCTGAGGGAAGAAATGAAGTACATTAGAATAAAGGAGAATTATTTATTAGACAAAGCATATTTTGACAGTTGTCAAGACAAAAATAAAGATTAATAGAGGAATATTTAAAAATAAGTAAGACAAGCTATACAACCAAAACAGTACTCAACCATAATAACAATAAAAAAAAAAAATAATAATAATAAAAATAAAAATTAAAAAAAATAAAAACAAACAATAATAAAATATATATATATATATATATATATATATAAATAAAAAATAAAAAAATTGTTTTATAAATACCAATATGAACTAAAATATACAAGAAATACATAACCAGTCAACAATTTGTAAAACAAAAAACCATTCAACAAATTAAAAATATGCTAACAACAATGAAAGGACTAATAATGGAAAAAAAATATTAATGCTAATGTGTAAACATAATTAGTGTAGTGATAAGTAATAAACATCTCCTCAGAGTCGCGTCTATTATTACTGGCGTTTCGATGAGGATCAGCATTTATAACTAGTTTATCCCGTCAGACAAACGTCATTGCCACTTATGCTTTACCCCGCGACTTACGCCTATTCCATACTGCAGTAAAAAAGGACTCACTACAAATAGCCAAAACCCAACCAACCCCAAATTTGTAAAGCACCAATATTTCTTTTGATGATATGATATAAAAAGTATAGATTTACTGAACAAACAAAAATAAAAATAACTAAATAAAAACACTTACCGTACCACCAAAAGAAAACATGAAAACAAAATAAATTAAAATTCTAATAGAAACATAAAAATATTAATCAATTTATTTTAAGAAATAAAACCAAATAGGTATTATTAGCATAAACAAGCCCAAGATAATCAGAAAGCAGTATACCTCATTAAAAATTTTTTTAATAAACAAAACAATAC